CCAGAGGGGGAGGAGCCGTTTCGGCTGAAGGCCTCTGCGGCTTGGGGGGTCACTTCAGCTGAGAGCCTCCGTGATCGAGGGTGGCGGGCCGTGCCCCTATTAAATTATACCCTGGCATTCGCCTTACAACTGAGGAAAAGCACGGAAATCCCTAGTCAGGGTAGCTGAGTGGTCTGAACACTGGTTGCGCCGACTTGGCCTCTTTGGGGACAGCCTCGGCTGGAGTGCTGAACATCAGTCCCCCTCGGTTGCCCTTGGGTGACCTCTGACAGCCTCCCGAGTTGCCGGACTAAGGGGTTCGAGTCAAATCTCTCGGTCAGTGCTCTGATGTGGTCGGCGCAGAGCGGGATCCCCAAATCCTCGTGAGTTTGCCTGATACCAACGTACGAAGGCGCGTTAATAGCAATGCGAAAACACTTGCAACTTCCGGAAGTGGCTGCAGGCAGCTGACCTCCAAATCGCGCATGCGTACTCCATCATAGTCTGTGATGATGGAACGTTATCCTGTGGTTTTATACAAGTTCAGCGACGCTGACCTTCGAGATATTTTAAAATTACAACACAAAATAGTGGTCTAATAACCCTAACCTCACATAACTACTCTGCTACTGTGTACAGAAACCTTTGATTGTTTGTCTGATAACTCCGATTGCCTGATCACGAGGTGTGCTCAACACCTCATCTCGGTCGAGAATACTCGGAGTGTTTGAATCGATTCTATGCAGGTCGTTGGATTGGTCGTGGAGTCCCACGTGCCTGGCCACCCCGTTCGCCAGACTTGACACACTTTTATTTCTACTTGTGAGGAAACTTGGAGGACTGGAGAAATCTCAGACTAAAGAGGGCAGCACGTGTTCTTTCAAAACGAGTTCTCTTGTGCACAAATAATGGACGACGCCATTTCGAACAGCAAGCACGTAACGTTTGCCACAACGCGCGTTAAACATGAGTAGAATACCTTTCTTCGTTTAAAAATAATGCTATGTAATCTTCGCTGTTATTCGATGTTCACCCCTTTTCATCCATCATAAGTACGTAACGGGTTTTATGAACGTAATAGTGGAAACCACACAACTTAGTTCGTCCGCCATGTTGGTATTACAGGTGTTAGGAAGTTAAGAAGTACGAGTATAGGGTAGCGTCCAGTGGTATTAAGTTCATACCAAATTTAATCTAAATCTGTCATCTGTTCCCCTTCCGAAGGGGCAAAGCCCTTTCGTAGTGTAGGTGAATAAATGCTTATAACTATGTTTACATATGACGTGGATAAAATAATCTTTAGAATGTTTAACGTCTTTCTTCTGATGTCGATTGTTTTGTATTAATCGACGTTTCGGCGAACATTGCAGCTGCCATTTTCAGGGTGGGTATGAGGTTGAACAAGTTCAGAAAGCCTTCCGAACCTTGAAAATGGCAACGCTTAGTTCTGATATGCATTTCTTTTCCCCACTGCATGTACCAATCATCTCATACTTTGAGTTTTTTTTTTAAAAATTCGCTTGTTCTTGTCCTATTATTATCCTGGAGAGCTCAAGGCCAAAAAAATTTCAAACGATCTTTTCCCTGAAATTCAGGATTAAATCCGACTAACTTCTGATATTGTCCTGAAGTAAATATCTCGTTCTTTGCAGCAGCTTTTAATATTAGAGTCTGCTTGTCGGAGCATGGACGTAACGTAACCTAGTCGTACATGAATTGAACGCCAGAAGGCGACACTTGTCAGGCAGCTGATGAAAAATCAGTTCTGAAAGTTCTAATTAAATCTTCATGAAATTAAATTATAATGAGTCCAAGTATTATTAAAGGTATTTATTTTAACATTTAATAAAGCAGGGTTCTAAAACCCTTTCATTATATCTGGCCGCATTCATATCTTTGTCCAAGGTCGCAATGTCTTGGTCACTGACTGAGTCTCTTGAAAAACGGATAAGTTAATTTCTCCGCAAAACTGACTTAACAATAATCTCTCATTAAGTAGGATTTGAGGTTTTCAAGGCGGTCAGTCTGAAGATGGCAGTCTTCTGGGTCCTTGCTGCCTCCATCATCTGGGCGATGCCTCCGAAACGTCTGTAAACTTCTGCCAGACTACACGGCGGAACAACCCAGAAGACAGCCATGTCCATAATCTCTGCCGTGATTATTTTTAGAAAAGATGTATTTCACTTCTCGAAGAACAGTCCACAATGTCACGTGAAATGCATTTCAAAAGAGAGCACAGCACGTAACAAATACTTTTCCTTACTTTGATTGTATCTCGAATAATTATATCAAATTATCGACCCTCGGTTTTATGTATCGATAGTTTGGACAGTGCCTCATCACGCTGTGGACATTTCCAACACTTAATACGGCATTGTTCTTTTTCTGATTTCAGTTTGATTTATTTTTTGACAAATAGAACACGCCTTGGTAATTGGTTGCGTGATTTCTCGATCACTATTCTTGAACCATTTCATTAATAATTACGGCAGAGGGAAGTTCGAATTTTTAAAGTAGATTCCCTAACCTAACCTAACCTAAACAAGAAGACTGCACGCTATTGATTGGCAATTACTAATAGACGGTATGGAATTTCTGAATTAACTTTACTTAATAATAGAATAGCAATTGAGCTGAGCCGATTTCAGGAGAGTTTCAGTTAAAAATGCCAAATGAGAGACGTTAAAGATTAAAGACTTAAAACCTGAAATTAAAATAGAAAATCCAAAAAAAAATTTAACAATTAAAAAAAGGAAACGAAGAGAAATTCAAGATAATGTAAACTCATCAAGATTAATTAAATTTAATTCGAGTTGTCTTTAATCCACCGAAAACTTAATTTCGTCTAAATGATATTTAAATATTAATTTCCTACAACAAACAAATCACAGCACTTGTTCATTAAAAAAGCTAATTGTTTAAAGCAGTTTTAAGAAAATAGTTTCTCTTTATTTTGAGAATCATACGAAATCCATGCGTGGAAAACAGAGTTAGTCGTGTATTGTTTTAGCTGGTGGTACATACAGCTGCCTATGAGAGTTTAACTCTTAATATAAAAATATACAAAATTAAGTATATTTATTTACAGAAGTAAAATAAACATATAAAATAATGTGTCAAGAAAACAAAATATTATTAAATATTAAAATTCCTGTTGTCGATTCTTGATGCTTACATTCCACATATGACACGTTCGTTGTCGAGATCCATAATAAGTAAATTACAAACTTATTTCACTGTTGGTATTGTTATTAGTGCTGCCATCTTAATTATGAAGTGCAAGGCGCGGTTCTTCGGAACCCTAAAATGCACCACTTTAATGGAGGGTGCCTTTTGTATTTATCAGACTGTTTACAGTTTTGTCTGTCTGTCTCCCAACAGGGAGCTGAAGCGCGTCGTACAGCTGAGAAGAAAACAGAGAAGGCGCAGCGGCCGAAACCCGCAAGATGGCTTCACCCACGATAATGACAGAGATCCTGTACGGCGTGGACAACTTCTCCAACGACACCGATGCGTGCGGAAACCACAACAGATTCCACTGGCCTGATTACGTTATTTTGGCTGTCACGTTGATAATTTCTGCCGGCATCGGCCTGTTCTATGGGTGCTTTGGCCCGAAGCAGAAGACGGCGAGCGACTTCTTGCTTGGAGGAAGTTCGATGGGGACATTTCCTATGGCAATGTCTTTAGCGTCGAGGTTAGTGAGGTCTGAACTGTGAATTTCACAGTAGCTAAAGATTAAGTACACAATTACATTGATATGTAAACTGAATCACGATCTGGAGAGCATCTCTCTCTTAAAATCCCTTTCTTAAACCAATTTGATTGTCGCGTTTATCGATATCTGGCAACGGGCGAATAAATACTCTGTCTTTTATGGAACGCAAAGGTTCATAACCATTTTCCAAATATCCACCCTGAGACAGATGAATTCTGTCTAAATTCTAACTTCCTGCATTATTTAAGATCCATTCTAATATTATCCTGCCATCTAAGTCTAGTTCTGCAAAAAAATAGTCTCTTTTCTTTGGGTATTGTGCCAAAATATTTTATATGGATTTCATATCTCCACCGTCTTCTGCCCGTTTCATCTTCCTTGATTTGATTATTCTTAATAATACACCTCTTACACTACCTGAAGTGTAGCGTGAGTCTACACTGTGTGTTGATGGGTGAATTTAATGTTCTTTCAGAATTACTGCTTTACATGGGACTGAAACTGAAGTGTATAAATTTTCTCAAAATACAGGGGACATGACATAAAAATTAAGTATAAAAAAATCTTTCTAATTCCGCGGCGCAGACCCCTTCTTGACGAGCTCGTAGCCACTCGGTCAGCCAAGAATCCCCCCATCTTTTACGGAACCTGAAAATTTATTACCATGTTCAAATGATCATTACATCGGTCTCTGTCCTGAGCCAGATGAATCTGATCCACATTCCAAATCTCACGTCCCTAAGATCCGTT